ACTGAATGATACATTCTGCATTTCAAAAAGATGTAGCTTCTTAGGCATATTTTACAGTTTGAGATTTTTCTAAAAAATATATTCATGGTTTATTATTATTATTAGTGGTTTATTATTTTTATAATTAAAATGCAGGTTGGCTGTTATGTAATTTAAATTATATTTTATTTTTACCTCACACCTCGTAGGCACCATAACTCCAATTAGATTATTTATGCGTTTAAAAGTATTTATATGAAATTATGTTTTAAAGTAGGGTGTGACATTTGATGGTCAATTCACAGTCATCCTCAAATATCTTCAATGTATATATAGATCTTTACTTCAAATCTTAAGGCAAAGGTTTTAATATTTAAATGACTTTCAAAGCATTTCCCGAATAGATCATTTTGTTCGTGAAATCAGTGTGTCATTTCCTTTGCTAAAAAAAATCTCCGTTTTCCCTCCACACAGTGAACATGGCCACAAGCAGGCTGATAGGGGCCGTGGCCGGCACCATTCTGGCCCTGGGGGTGATTTTTGGAGGCACAGGGTGGGGAATAGAGTAAGCATCTTTATGAGTTTCAGAGTGTCTCTGTGTGGTGCCTGGTGTGTGAGGTGATGCTTGGTACCTGCCTCTTCCATGTTTTGTCTCGTCGACTGTGTTTCCTGTGGTAGTGCAACCTGTGGTGTGATTTGGATGTGTTCGTGTCTTGTGGTTTCTCGTGCAATGTAGAACCTTCTCCTGTCTGGAACAATGTGGGGCATGGAATAATGTTGGGGGTGTTTATGATACCATCACAATTGAGGCAACAGTCCAGAAACTTCTATTGCTCCTCCACTTGTAAAAGCAATTTTAAAAGAGACCTTCCCCCCGACTCCACTATTTATTGGCAAAAGTGCTTTTACATGAGTGTTTTGTTAGGATTCTTAAAATAATGCATTTAATCTTTACCAGTCAAACAAATCCACATATACAACTAGGAATTATCAACAGTTGAGGCACTTTTTAAAGGTATAAGAATGATAGCCACTAGTATTTTCTCCATTTATTGAGAACAATATGGGAAGCTTCAGCTTAACTTTTTTAAAAGAAGATATTTAGGATACTGCCTTCAGTTTTCTTGTTATAAAACAGGTTAATAATTCAAATTTGAAGTTTATCTAAATGTTTGGGAGCAAGGAGCATTAAGAATGAAAAGATATTTAATTCAAATCTGTACAACCTTAAGCTGCAAATTATGTGGCTTGTCTTAAAAGGACCAGTGTATAAATAAATACAGTCATCCCTTGGTATTTGTGGGAGATCGGTTCCAGGACCTCCTGCAGATGCCACAATCTGCAGATACCTAAGTCTCTGATATAAAATGGCATAGTATTTGCCTATAACCTACACAATCTTCCCATTAAACTGTCTCTAGTTTACTTAAATACCTAACACAATATAAATGCTGTGTAAACAGTTGTTATGCTGTATTGCTTAGGGAATAATGACTGAAGAAAAGTCTGTATGTGTTCAGTACAGACAGTTTTTTTCCTGAATGTTTTGACCTATGGTAGGTTGAATCCATGGATGTGGAACTCATGGAAATGGAGGGCTGACTGTGTATTGTGTGCCACTTACCCATGATATACAAGCTCTCCTAGTGCCTTTATTTAGATTCCCCTGTCCATGATCCACATCTTCAGAATAGCTGTCAGTTCTCCATGGGATACTGCTTCAGGAGATCGCTAATCTGTAGACTAAAGATGATCATGATTTTTTCCTCTTTCTGTAATTATAAAGAGAGCATTTATAAATGACAGAAATAGCCCTTCACACAGTGTCTTTTCTGTTTACTGTGGTGGTGGTGGTAACACTTCAAAGAGGCCCAGGAATGAATTGCTAGCATCTTAAGGGATTACCAGATACCCTTTACTCAGCCAGCCTACATCATGAGCATGTTGATAATATCAGCGACGTTCCCCCTTAGTCTCTTTAGTTGAATACACAGATGCTCTTCTTACATACCGGAATTGGGAGACCCATGCCCCAGAACAGCATTAATAGGGGAATAGGTCCACAGGTCACACATTGTGTTAACGATGACATGAACCTTCTCTCCTTTGGACTGAAGGACTTTGACCAAACTTGGATCTTCTAACTCACATCCCATCAGAATGGACTGTGAAGCTAGTTAGCCCAGAGGAAGCTTGAAATAGTGGAAAAGAGATTTTCTTTCTCCTTACTTGTTAGAAAATAAAGTATATAACACAGGTAAAATATTTAGAGACAACAAGAACTTTGTCCTGTAAAATCTCAGCTTGCGTCTGTTGACTGAATTATATACATGAGTAATATTACTTTTCCAGGAGCAATTCGATACATACATTTATGTGAAATTCCTTTTTGAAAAAAGGTAGTTTTTAAAAAAGCATCCCAGATGCACTTTTTACATTCTTTATTGATCGTAATTTTGGTGTCCTGAAATATAGTAATTGAAGGGATGAATTTTAATCATCCTTTCTTTGAGTCTTAGAGATAGGCAAAGTCAATAGGGCTTTTGTTCTAAAACATAGTCCTTGTCCCGGCATTTGTTTTCATCTATCATTCCAGTGTGGTTTGTGGCTATTTCTGGTTGTGACAGGTAAGTCCGTATAAGTGTATATATTTTTTTTCCAAAAATAGATTTGTTATCTATTCTTGGTATATGAACTGTTTTTTTTTCTGTTAGTTTACTGATTTTTTCCTTCAAAATCTATATTTTGCCATAATTGCTTAAATAAGTAAATATAGTTTTTTAAAAATAAAATTCACATCGTATAATATATATCGTTTTAACACTTCCTAGTTTATGATAGTGTAATGTTCATTTAGTCATTCAGGATTCTGTGGACAGAGTTTAGAAACATTTTTAAAAAAATTTCTTCTACTCCTTAGTTTCTGATTATGAATCAGGAATCATTTCTCATGGATTATGTATTGATTCTAATCCCAACTTGTGTTTTCTGGAGCTAGGAAAGTGCAAATCATATCTAAAGTATAGAGTATGAACATGGTAATATAAATATTTTTAAATATTTGTTTTGAAATTTGTTTCCCTATTGAAATGTGGGGAGGAAATACATGTAAATGGAACAAAGTTTCATTAGAACAAGAGTTAGCAAACTTTCTGTAAAGGGCCAGATGGTACATAGTTTTGGCTTTGAGGTTACTAAAGGGTATCTGTCACAGCCTGTCAACAATGCTGTCTTAGCATGAAAGCAGCCATAAACAGCAAGTAAACAAATGAGCAAAGAGTTAGCAAACTTTCTGTAAAGGGCCAGATGGTACATAGTTTTGGCTTTGAGGTTACTACAGGGTATCTGTCACAGCCTGTCAACAATGCTGTCTTAGCATGAAAGCAGACATAAACAGCAAGTAAACAAATGAGCATGGCTGTGTTCCAATAAGATTTCTTTGCAGAAACAGGTGGTGGGGCCAGACTTGGCCTGTGGGCTATAGTTTTCTGGCCCTCGATTTATAGCCTAAGTTTTAGAGTCTGACAAATCTATGTACAAATCTTGCCTCCACTTATTGATTTCTAGAAGCCTCTGTTTCCTCATCTATTAAACAGAGAGAGTCACAGTTTTGGTGAGGATCAAATGAATGAGATAATATATGTTAAGTGTTCAGCCCTGGCACATAGTAAGTGCTCAGTATGCAGTAGCTAAACTGCTTTTCTTGCTCTCACTGTTACTGTTTATTATTACTGCTGTATCTCTCAAGGTTACCTGGATTCATGTTCTATAGAACCTCAGTGGTTAGTCTTAAGAGCATGTCACAAGCCCAGGAGCATGAAGAGATCTTCATCCCTGAGACTCATTACAGCTGTTCTCTGCCTGCCCACCAAGCACTGGGTGGTCTCCTAGTAGAAACATATTACGTATACAATTTTAATGCTGCCAGAAGTGGCATCCATTTATGTACACAGTTGAGGGCACTGATGTGAGCAGAAAAGAGAATTTTTTATGCAGAAATGAATATATACACAAACTTGAGGATTTTAGAGAAACTAGCAAAATTGGCCTTGTAACTTCTGGAGCAGGGATATATAGTTAGAACTGAAAATATTTTGTTGTTGGGGGGCACTGTATCTGCATAGCAGCATCTTGAAGGATGTGATATTTAAAATAATTCTTGCAGTAAATTTAACGTTGCTTAGATTTTAAGTGCTGAACTAAGGAGAGGAGTGAGTGGACAGGATCTTACTCAACAAATGATAGGAATTCCACCTCGTATTTTCTTTCTGGCTGTCCTTCCGGCTCTCTTCTTTTTTTATATCTCTAAGTCTCAAATTCTTCTTAGTAATAAATGGGAATTTAAAAGATACTCTCAACTGAATCTAAGGAATCTTTCTTCCATTTTCCCAAAATAACCCAAACGAGTTTTATGCTTCCTTTAAATCCTGCCTTTGGAACTCCATTGTGGTGTTTAATACTGTAAGGACCATGAAGAAAGAATTCGAAGTCAGATCTTTATTGGTAATCTTCTGACTTCTAAAATTTAACTGTCTCCAAATGGGGAATAAAAAAGTTAGCATTCAGGCAGCTTTATGTACTGCTTGGAAGAGCACTTGAGTAGAATATTTTTCCTTCTTTTCATGCCCTCATTTGTCCGTCGGATTAAGCTCATTCTAATGCAGTCGTGTTCTTGATGTGCTTTTACTTGTTTGAGTCCATGATACTGGGAAAGGGGAAGAGCAGAAGGATGTGCAGCGACAGCAAACAGGGCCTATTTGATTCAAATTCTGTGAAAGGTGAATTCAACGGAACTTAATTGTCAATGGTACAGAACCTTTAGATGTATAGGCACAGAAATCCGAGCAGTCGCTAACTGTGGCACCTCAAGTACAGTTAAGCTGAGGAAATAAAGGCAAATTAAATCTTCAGTGATCTTTTACGCAGGGTATTTACTTCCTGAAACCATTTAACTGCCTTTCCCTTGTGGTAACGAAAGTGGTTGGTTCATTTGACTTTCTTCCCGTGATCCTTTGTCACAGGTCCTAGTGCCACCAATCTCATAATAGGCTCCATCGCTGGTGCCATCCTGGTAGCAGCTATTGTCCTTGGGGGCACAGGATGGGGATTTAAGTAAGCAATGCCGCATGCCTTCTTCTCAGTGGCTCTGGCACTTCTCTTTTCTGCTTACGTAACCAAGTTTTGAGTTCCTGCTACAAGATTTTAAGTAAAACAGTAACACTGCAAAAAGTAAATGTTTATTCAGAAATGCGTTAGAAAAGAAGAAACACGAACCCTCACATATCTTCAGGCAAGTGGAAAAATGAGAAATATAGAAGGAATGCACACATACTCGTTTAAGGAAAGCAAAGTAGATGTTCTTCAGTGGAAGACGTCCCAACTTAACAGAACAAACATTCTGAGATACGTTCATCTATATGCAGGTAATGGAGGAACCCGCGTAGTTAAAAAGAAATGGATATAAATTCCTTGTATCTGTTTAAAACTGGCTTATATTCTATTTTGAAAATTTCACAACCTAAGTAACCATGTGGTTACTAGTTTTGGTATGTAATATATGTGGCTTAGTGATTTTAAAAGCTTCATTATTTTATAAAAACAGATTTTAAAAATATTTCTATCAATTTCCTATCAATTTGATTTTAAAAGCTTCATTATTTTATAAAAACAGATTTTAAAAATATTTCTATCAATTTCCTAGCCAACTGCATTGGTTTCAAATTGGAATTTGAAATCTATGGTTTTGTGACACTTAATATTTTCTAATTAGCGGCTAATATTGACATGACTGGAAGGTCCGGTGTGTTTTCATAGTGGCATTTTGGTTTGGATCACACATTAATTGCTCAGCTAAGTTAGACATGCTGGATAATCATAAATAAACCTTAATTATGTTCTAAAATTTTAAACCTGATTTATCCAGTTTGGATGTTTTTATACCTTGAATTCATTGGATAACCTTTTTATGTCTTTTCATACTAAGATGACTTGATTATTATGATTTGTAGGTAAGTCTTCCTGTGCCTAATTTTCCCTGTGATAAGTTTTCAACCAGATATATAGAAACAAATTTAAGTTGGAAATAAGACCATTACCCAAATTCAAAGCCCACTTTGCCTCCACCTGCTTACTCAATAGAGGAAGGTTTTGCCCTAAATTATCTGAATAATTGCCTTAACTGTGAACTTTATTCTATTTTAAGTTTGGAATCCTGAATTCAATGTGTTTCAACCAGCTAAAAGATTATTATTAGAAGCTTATTATGAAAGAAAACAAGACAAAAGACAATTTAAGTAATTCAACATTTTCTGCTTTTGTTATTAAGATTTAATGGGTAAGCTTATAGTCTTTGAGTGGCTTCCACTTGGAAAGGCATTATCAAATGGTACTTCTTTTCTATAGGGATATTTATAAAGTCGAACTTATATAGTGAAATCATAGTTTTGACACTAGTGTGTTTTCAAAATCACGCAACTAAATGGGTAACTCACATTTGAATTTCTCATCTTAGTATTAACACGACATTGCCCCCGGTAGTGAGTCACTCATGTAGCATCTGATAAAAAATATACTTTTGTTTGGTCTGGCCTAATTCAAGCAAAAACTTTTTGTAGTATACCACTATTGTCAACAAATCATTGTACATTAAAGCAACGCCATACTCTATATTATTATTTTGTAATGCTTTTGATAACTTTTTCGTAAATAGGCCTTGAGAAGAATAAATTTGTCTCTGGTCCAGGCTTATGCCCCATCGGTAGTAAAAAAAAAAAAGGAAAATCTCAGTTTCAAAGGCCTAGAAAACAGTCTTCCATGCATCTTTGCCATTTGGCCAAATGCAATCCTTGAGAAGAATAAATTTGTCTCTGGTCCAGGCTTATGCCCCATCGGTAGTAAAAAAAAAAGGAAAATCTCAGTTTCAAAGGCCTAGAAAACAGTCTTCCATGCATCTTTGCCATTTGGCCAAATGCAATGCCAAATTCACCATTTCCATGTTTGGAGATAAGAGCACACGATTCTGTAGCAGGACCTCAAAACAGTGGCCTGGCCTAGCTCACAGCTTGAATTGCATGTTTCTTTGGGGAAAAACAGAAAAGCCTTTATCATTGTGTATGTAAGTGGATTAGGCCCTGTGCAGATTATTTACATCTGAGAGAAATGTCTGATAATCAGAAGAGCAGGAGGAAAAAAAAAAGGTGGGGATCAACACTTAGTCACCTGGTGAGGTGAGAAACAGCCTTTGCTGCCTGGTGTGGGGCCTGCTGTGTAAGAGCACAGATGCAGAGCTAAGGCAGAGTCGCTTCCTGTGCCCTATGACTCTAACCAGTTTAAGGGAAAACTTCGTAGAAAGGCACACAGAAGTGTGAAATAAATATTTTCATGCCCCGAAGCAAAGAAGAAAATGAAGACTGAGACTCATTCTAGAACATGTACCTTTAGGAGTTTAAATTTGGGGAAGCTGCTGCTCTTGTGCTGACTATAGGTTTCTACATGAGGATCTTATTTGCTTTAGATTTTCACAGTAGCTATGTGGTTTATATTGAGCTTTAAATAACTACTTTTACCTTGCAATAAAAGGCTTTTGGTGTTGAATGATAATGTTTAGGCTTTCCTACCACTTGGGCAAATTTGGAAATTATTAGTCTAGAGATAAGTCAGAAATATGATGTTTTGCTAGTTGAAGTGAAAGCCTTTGAATGTTTCATTCAGTTCAATGTAAATAAAAAAGGGATTCTTTTAGAATAAGTTGAAAATAGTTTCTAAGAAAGATTTCTCTAAATACTGCTGTTGGGAATCTCTCCTGAAGTTGGATTTTTATTACTAGAAAAGAAGGTAGCAAAGTAACTTGAAGAATTTGAGGGTATGTAAACTTCTGGATTAAAGGAAAATATATTAACTGCTCAGGGAAAATATTGCTTTTTCCTAATGTGACATTTCTTTAGGTGTAACACTCTGAGTAGTTTAGATGCTGAAGTATCGTATGTGACCTTTTCAAGTATAAATGAGAAATAGAGCTATGCTCTAAGCCCTGACATTGCCATTTTTTGTGGTTCTTTTCTTAAACCATATTTCCTCCTCAACAGGTGGTAAAAAGCATGAGTATGTGTGTGTGTGTGTGTGTGCGTGTGTGTGCGCGCTTAAACCATATTTCCTCCTCAACAGGTGGTAAAAAGCATGAGTATGTGTGTGTGTGTGTGTGTGCGTGTGTGTGCGCGCGCGCGTGTGTGAGTGTATGTACGTTTGTGTGTGTAAAGTAATAATGAAGGTTATTATTGTGATCTGAAAATAATTGTGAAATTATTGTGATCACAAAATTATTGTGATCTGAAAATAATACAAATTTAGATTACTTCTTTTTAGCAGAATAGTAGAGTCAGAAACCTTTGGTTAGTGCAACCAAGACTTCCACAAGCAAGCTTGTGGAATTCCTGAAAGGAAAAAAAATGCTTTATTTGGTAGATTTTTTTTTTAGACATATTCTGACATATTGCGTAATGTGGTGAGTATGTCTTAGTAACTTTGGTTACTTCCACACTCCAGAAGTATGAGGATCCTAAGGGATGATCTAGTCTGGATTCCGAGGTATTTGAGGCCTAAGGATTTTCTCTGAGAAATCCTGTAAAAATGAACATAGGCATGTGACACAGCAGTGTGTCCAGCTTCCCCCATATCTGCATTTATTCCCACTCACCCACGCTCCTCTTCCTCTCCATCACCTACACACACAGAGTAAAGTTATGAACTATGGTTCAGAGGATTGCAGCCTCTGTCCTGGTTGACTCAGGGAAACCCTGACACCTACTCCGTGTTGAATAATAAAACTGCTTGATTAGACTGTCAGAGCTGTTGCTTTCACTGGACATTAGCAAAACTCAAGTAGGTGATGGATCATTTTAGTAGCATCTTTCCTAAAGTTCAGAAAAGGTGAGAAGTACATGAAAAAAGAATTTCATATCTGCATTTAAAAATGAACGGGATTGCTCTTATTACCTTGGACATGGCTGTTTAACTAACATTCCCTAAATTTGAACATAGGAATTTAGATGTGAGCACTGTGGTTATTTACATGCTTGTAAAGTACAGTAGGTGATGGTAGCAGGCTAGAAGAAAAATTCTAGGTGTTGGTAGGAAAAGAACACAGAGGTAACTTGACATAGTTTGCTGACAATTCAAATCAAAAGGATTCCAAGATGAATATTGAACTCTCCAACCACATTATAATGTCCCAGTCTAGGGAACCCTATTACCATGTCTCCCTATCCCACTACTTGCTCTCTCCATGGGAATCAGTGACAAAGTGTGTTTCTTCCATCACCAGTAGTGGCCACACATAGCTACTCCTACATTAAAGGTGTTAATAAGTCTGTATAATTATCATATGGGGTTACCTCTCTCTGAGAAGTTACTTGGGTTACAAATTCATACTGAGTTTGACTGGCTCTAAGAGATCCTGTTTGGCCTATGTTCCATTTTTTTGGGTGTGCTAAAGAAGAGACTGCTGTGTACTCACATAAAATGAAATTGAAAGGTCTACCTCTGGACTGTCATCAAGAAAGTTGACTGAATTGTTTGAATGTCAAGTAGGATGAAATTTGAAAGTAACTTACAATTGCTAATTATATTTTCTCAAAAAAGTAAATATCTTTATATATTTATTTTGGCTTTTGAATTTTACAGAATTAGAAAATGGAATCAATTTTAGCTAGTCTTTCCATAAGGAGGGTAAGCAGACTGCTGTTTATTTGAATTCCGTGAGCATATCCCAGTGCAAAATAAGGAACCTGATTCCTTTAATGCCTGGGACTCCTCTGTGTTCAGATTAATTGAGGAGACATTAGTTTAACGTTTCTCTTCAGTTCCAGCAACACCTAGCTAGCTAGGTTGGGGCCCCTAGTCCCTTAGGGTCTCTTGTTTTTTCTATCTGGCTCACAAGGGAGAAGTGAGGCTCCTTAAACATCTACCTGCAAGGGGTGTGAGCATGGGGAGCAGACTCAGATCCTGTGCTCCGCAGCAAACTGATTTGGTGAAAGATACGTGATGGGAGACTTCCCTTTTGGTCTCATCTCTATTTCCTGGTCAGCATCAACAATTCCTGCTTTCAAGAATATTAATTTTAGAAAGGGATGGCTGGAAATGGGGAAGAAAAGCAAGTAGCACTGTTGGAAATAGGGTTTGCTACAGTGAATTACCTGCTAGACCAATGAACCACATACTTAGGCCATTCATGAAGACATTTTAATGAAAACTTTAAAAAGGAAAGGGAGGTTTTTCTTTAAAGATTATGTTTTATATTTCTAAAGAGAAGCATCAAAATGGTCATCTTGGGAAAAATAAGAACTTTGCAGGATGTCTTTATACATATTTTGAGCTTTGGTATTGTTTTTATTTTGAATTATACGGGGGAGGAGGAATATACTGTAATCTTTGGTATGCAGGGCCTGTGGGGGTATCCAGCTGGCCCTGAGTGAGTGGGCAGGGGAATGAGGGGTCTAGGGACTCCTGGGTCTCCAGTTGTGCATGATGCCTCAGTGGCAGCAGCGTTGCACCCGCCAGTGTGCAGACTAAATGCATGAGCCCTTGCTTGATGCCCCACATGAAGCCAGACGATGGGGAGGTTGCAAGCAGAAACTTTTGTTGTTGTCTTGTAGAGTCTTGCTGGTTCTTTCTTTTCTCTTTTCAAACATAGAAACCACTTTTTAGGAGACTGGACACTACAAGCAAGACATTTTAACTTGCCTATTTTCAACTAATAGCAGAAACTTTTGTTGTTGTCTTGTAGAGTCTTGCTGGTTCTTTCTTTTCTCTTTTCAAACGTAGAAACCACTTTTTAGGAGACTGGACACTACAAGCAAGACATTTTAACTTGCCTATTTTCAACTAAGCTAAATGCTATATTTGCTTAACTAACCCAACCCTGTGTCCATTCTCCTTTGAGTGTACTGTCTTACTGTGCACTCTGTATTTCAACTTTCTAGATATGAAAAATGCTTGTTCCAGAGTGGGGTAAGAGCTCACATACCCAAGGCAGCAAGATAACTGAGCAGAGTGGGCTTTCTTGCCACCTCAGCACAGGCCAGTTCACTGATACAGAACCCTCAAGTCCTGGAGGGAAGTAGCTACAAGACCTGTAGAGTTTTTCTTAGTCCTCCCGATAGCCCCCCATGTGGAAGAGGCCTCCCTGTAATTTTCTTCTAGAGGATTAGCAATATCATTTACTTCTGAAATAAGAGACTAATTGGGCCATGGAGTCTTCCTGTGATTTAAAAAGAACAACTTGAAGCCTTCTATCTTCACAAAAGGCATACTCTTGAGATGATGGAAAGATGTTCAAAAGCGTTAGCTGGTCTGTGTTTCAGTTTCAATTTATTTTGGAAACTGCCTCCGTGCGAGTAGATTACTTTGCTCTGGAACTAACATTATTGTCATTAACATCATCTTTCTCTTATCACCATCTGATTAATATTGTGGATTTTTCCCCTCTGCTTGCATTCTCTTTTGACGCACTCTGGAAGAAATGTCAAGAAGAGGAGGTTCGACCCTACTCAGCAAGGCCCCATCTGAATCAGCTTTGCTGGATGAGCACTGCCTCGCACTGTCGGATTCTGGGTATGACATACTTGGAGCAATGTTGCCAGAACTCTTAAGTCTGTAAACAAGAACTCTGGGTGGTAATGACTGCAGAGCTAAGGTTGGGGTGACAGGGATGGAGTAAAAAAAACTTTCCCTTTTGGAAATAATTTCAAAGAACCCCTTCCACCATCTGTCAATAAAAAGGGGGCAAAAGACCATGTTGTAAAAAAAAAAAAAAAACTGTTTCAGAATCTTTTTTTTTTCCTGACTAAAAGAAGAAGGAACAAAGCAAATTAAGTGCAATAAAAGAACCATTAAAAAATAGCAAATGATTTTTTTTTCCCTTCAGCCTCCTGGCACTTAATATCTTCTAAATGATTTGGCATGATTATTTTTCCTTTACTACCAATGACAAACTCCAGTGGCATGAAGATCTAATTTTTGAAAGGGTAAACACTGCATGGCATATATACATCAACAAGCTAGCAAGCCAATCCTCAGCAAAACCTGCAATGGAATTCCTAAGGCGAAGATGACAGATGAACACACAGAAGCTGCCTGGGCCTCTTCACAGAAATGACTCCCCACCCTGCACCCTCTGTAACCCGCTCCCTACTCCTGCCCAGGCCATGGCAGGACTCTACCGCCCCTGCTCTTGTGATTCACTTTACCTCTTGTTTTTTCTCCTGGACTGAGCATCCTTTGGAAATGGGAGCTGAATTTGAACAATGATGCTATTGTATAGTTCTTTTATAAATGTAAATATGGAAATAAGAGATTTTGACACATCATTTTCACTTGTCTGTATTGAAACATTTTTCTTGTAAAGATTCTCTGTAAATTTGAGTTCATCCTTTGCTCCCCATATTTTTTGTTTCTTTTCTGTCTCTGTCCTCTCTTGTAACATGTCGTGCAATGATTGTTGGGCCTGTTTAAAAAGACAGATGTAGCCACAGATGCAGGGAGTTTGGTCGCAGAACAGGTGCGATTTAAAGCTGGCATGCTTGAAACCAAAAATAAACAAAAGGGGGGGGGAACAAACAACAAAATAACCCATATCAAAACATGAAAATTATGTAAATGCAAATACCTGTACTGACAAGTCTCTAAAATTTTTTGATGTCATTGTAAACATATGTATATAATGTAAGAAAGTAGATACCCTCTCAAATTAATCACAAAAGTGCCAAGCTCATGATTTTAATTTTTGGTTTTGATCATTTTTTCCCCTGTCTTTAATGTGAAAGAAGGAAAAACAAAGCCTTAAATAAAAAAATAATTTTTAAAATGTTGAAAGCTTGGGAAAAAGTTAAGCTTTTCATCTTATTTGTATTTTTTATTGTGAATATTTCATTCATGCTTCATCTTCCTGCCTCAAAACATATATGGTAGAACCCATTGTAAAAGTGGTAATGAGACAGAAACAGTGATTACCTTGTCAGCACTGTCGTAAAAGGATTTAATTCTGTGTGTGTGTTTTCAGGAAACCTGTTTGACCCACAGCATTTTGCTGATCCATGGAATGTTGTGCTAGATTAGATGGATTCTGCTATAGGCAAATTCACGTTCTCTTCCCTCCAGGCAGATTTGCAGGTGTAATCTGGGGTTCCCAAGTCCTTCTGAGTTTCCTTCACTTCCACTGACCTCTATGTAAGATAGCTTCTGTTTTCTAAAAAATAGTTTTAAGTAAATAGGTTAATAATTTGGTCCCAGCATTGTTTTAAATGTACAAACTGTACACAGTCACTTCCATGAGCATCCACCAAAGATGAATTTTACTAAAAGCCCCCAAACAGCCCCCATTTCTCTGACATCCTCTTTTTAGGAGCAGGACATGCTTACTATTTGCTTCTTCATGACACTGAATCAGTTGCTAGATTTAACTCTAAGTCCTTTTTCAGCAAGATTCATGACATCAGTCTTAACTTTTTCTTTAACTTTGGAAAAAGATTATGTCCTAAAAACATACTGCTTAAAACAGTGGAGTTTTCCCCCCTAAGGTATCTTTAATTGTGGAAGTTTCACAGTCATAGAGCAGAAACATTAATTTCTATATGCTACAATAGACCATAACCTAACATCTTATTCCTGTTATTGTGTTCTGAGTACTAGGTGCTACACAGGTATGTAGTCTTTCTCTAGAACTAGCTACATGTTAATATTGTAATAACAGGGCTATCTACAAGGTTTCTCAGCCTTACTCCTGGCTTCATAAGATACAGGTAGCATCCCTCTACTTAGTGACAATGGCTCTTTCAGCTCAGAGGAAACTTGGAGGAAACTCAGATTACTTGGTATCTCTTCCTATTGCTGCGTAGCTTAGTGTCCCCCTGTTGCTGGATCCTACTCACTAGAAGATGCTAAGCTGCTGCTAAGTACACCATACACATTTCACTACTATTCCAGAGGCACCATGGTGACTTAATAGAAACAAAATCATGGTGGTTACAAAACAAGTTAAATCTCTATTGTTAAATTTTGAGCATTTCACAAACAACATTGTAAATGTGCGATGTTATGTTTTAAATCAGACCACAGTGGTCCCCAAATATTATGTACATATGGCAAATGTCAGTGTAACTTTTTGTTACACTAGCAATTTCATAAGTAACCAAACCTGTACTCCAATGTTAAATTATTTGTGTGTATATGTAAAATACACAAGCTTTAAGCTATGTGTGTATGAATATGAAAGATAATGCAACCATATCAGTTGTAAACAATGGATTATAATTATTTCGGGTGGTATTAGGTTACGTAGTTTCAAACTCTTTGCTATATTTTCTCTTGCTCATGCCATTGATTTGCTAATTTTTGTGGTGTGAATACTCTTTTTTATTTTGAGCTCAAAGCACAAGCATATCACTATTTAATGTTACCCAACAAGAGTTAGTGTTAAGTGATGACCAAGTTCCCATTTCACCTGTTGTACCTTTGCTGCATTAATTAATAACACCTGGACAAGGAGACGGGCGCTGACTTCTTTGCTCACCTTGGATAGTGCATGAGCCCATTGAATTAGAGCTACTCCTGCTAGATAAATGAGCAGTACACACAGGTGCATGTTATGAAACATGCTCCACGTAGAGCTGTGGAGTTTTACCAAGTGGTGTGTGTTTTGTTTTTGTTTTTTACTATGCAAAGATGGAAAATGCACAAACTTTTCAAAGACTAGTATCTGAAGAACTTTACAAACAATACTTGAATCCTTTCTTTAAAGTCATCCCATCATGTTTTATAGCCATCGTTGCTTCCATTGTTAACTTTAATTTTTAAGTGCTTTGTAATTTTTTAAGTGCCCACCCTGAAGTTTTGTTTGAAGTTAATTCATTCATTTGTATTTTGTTGGCTGCCTATGAATGGAGATTCAGTAGTCATTGTATGCATCTTTTAGCCAAGTGTGTATTAAAACTTTTGTTAACATAGGATGTTGTAGCTTTATGCTTTGGATCATTTTTCTTAAATCCTTTTTCTGTGTTCTCTTGTATGGATTAAATAGCCATGTGCCTGATGTCACTAGAGTTTTAGCACCTGTCTCAATCAAAGCCTCACTGAAAATTTGAGCAGTAAATGAAATAAAATAAAATCTCTGACTAATGATAAATATATTTCTTATAAGGATTTAGTTTTATGGGATTCACTGGAAATTTTTTGCTTGTTATAAATCAGAAAAAATAACCTTAGTATCTTATCATTATCAATTTTATTTTCTTTAGCATGTCTATTCTGTTTAAAGAGTGGTTGGCTAGTAATAACATCCACACTTTTGACCTGTACCAAATTTATAATCAAGCAATAAAGAAATTAGAAGAAAATCTGGTTAGGCAAATTGTATTATGAAAAACAGTCAATGGAAGGTATTTCCTTGCAGCTCACAGGGAATTGGTCACCAAATTATATTCCTTCTTCATGTATGTCTAATATGTCTCTCTCCATCGCCACTGCCATGTCTTGGTTTGGTCTTACCAGCCACGTATATCTCACATATATCTGCTGTACTGACACACAGAGATGCTAATCTGACCATATCATTCCTCTGATGAGTGTCCTGCAGGGATCTTCATTTCCTGTAGGGTAAAGTCCAAACTTACTAACGTGACTTAAAATCCTGTCTGCCTTTCACAGCCATACCCCTCTTTATTTTTCTCATCTCACTGACTCTCATCTTCTCATAGTCACTGTAAGTTTCCCTGAAGGAGCCTCTTCTACCCAAGTCTGAATAATCTTATTTAAATTTTATGTCCATTATCCATAATTAATGTTTCAGTGTCATTTCATGTAATAAAAAATATAGAAACACTTAAAAATAGCATGAATATGATACTTAAAATAAGGAAGTGTATTAGAGTGTCATTTATATTTGACTTTAAAAGACTAATATGATTTTTTTTAAATGTGTTTTTAAAATTCATTCTGTTTTTGACATTGACATTGAAATGAGTTCTGCTCCATGCTCCCTTGGTAACTGATTGAGAAAGATGACCCAGAAACCATAAACTCCCTAGATAATAGAACAGCGGCCCTAGAGTTAAAATTTTGATGTGAATAATTAAATATATAATTTATATGCTCATGATGGAATTCCTAAGTAACTTAAAATTTAAGATAGGCGCTCTTATGTGCCTAAGGGTTAGGGACTTTCACGCATTACTTTATTCAACAAATATTTATTAAAACTACTTTATGGCAGGAACTCCAAAGAATTAAAGGAACAAAAGAAAATTCTTGGCCTAAAGTTGCTAACAATTTAGCAGGAAGATACATGTCTTTAAAAAACAAACAAAAATCTCTGAGCCCAAAGTGATGAGTAAACAAATGGTTTGCTGGGAGTAAAGAGAACCCACGGGCAGGTGGGGGAGGGATACAGGAAGGCATCCCAGAGGAAATGAGTTTTAAACTATCTTGAAAGATGACAAGGGTTCATCAGTCTAATAAAGTGAGAAACATACTCAAGACATAGGAAGCAACATGTGCCAAGAGCCAGGAGCAGGAGCCCAGACCCCTGGGGGAAGTACAGCTGATTTTCTCCTCCATTTGGCCTGTTTCCTTCCACCCACTCTCCCTCCTTTCCTCTCTC